ATAGCCAAGGGTGGGTGGGTAGGGGCAGGCAAAGCAAAAGACTCCAGAGCAGCTGTGAACGGAGTGCTTCTGTGGACAGTAGGGGTCACCAGCACCTGTTAGCTGCTCAGCTTTCCTGGAAGTCTGGAATGGGGCCCAGGCATTCGTATGTTTAACAGGCACTCTAGACAAAGTTTGGTAAAAGAAAATCTAAACTGTGAGCGAGCATAAGGCCTTTAGAAAATCCACCAACACTATGAAAAGAATTAAAATAGTCATTTTATTGGGTAGTTTTCTTTCTTTTTTTATTTTATTACTTTTATTGGGGTGACATTTGCTAATGGTAGTTTTCTCACTGTGGACAGAAAGGTGGTTTTTTTTCTTTCCATGAAAAGGCTTTCTAATGAGTACAATCGTTGCTATTTTTAAAAAAAAATAACCTAACTACTCTGTTTACTTCTGGTGAAGCAAAACCAGTCATTAGAAATGGTCTGTGCTCTTATTTTTGCAGACTGGAATGGAATGGCTTTCCCAAAAAATCCCCACGTGCACACACACACACCTCATTTCTCTTAAGCCACAAAGTTCGCTGCAGTGCAGATCACTTTTGTTTTTGTTTCCTATTTTAATCATCCGGCGTTCCCATGTGGCTGTTAATATGAGCTTGTTTTTAATTAAAACAAGAAGCTATAAACCGGTGTGTGGTGTCCTTAAAGCCTTCTCAGCAGATTTCCCGGTGGCGACAGTCCGCCAGTGACCCTGTTTCTAACCTGTCTTCTGCAAGTGTAATCTGTCCTGCCTCACACTGCACCCTCCCCTGGCCCTGTCTTACTTTGAACGTCCTTCTTCTTTGGCTAATTTCATGTTTTCTTTCTCTTTCTCTCGCCCTCTCCAGCTTTTTTTAATCTTGTCTTCAGCAGCTGCACTATATCTAAAGGAGAAGACTGCCATTAGAGAAGAGTTAGGGTTCCACATTGTCTCAAACCAGAAACCAACCAATCCCCTCGCCCCCAAAGTGTGCGTGCGCACACACACACACACACACACACACACACACACCACACTCAGCAAGTGTTCATGTGTCCCTGTGTCCAGGCAAGAAGCTCTCTCCTGACTTACATGGTATTTTAAATGGAAGTGTCTTGTCCTAACCTAACAAGGCAGGAAAAGAACCGTCAGAGCTGGAGAGTGGACCAAGTGTAACCTCAGAGGGACAACTGCAGGACGACTCACCCAAGTGTAAGTGACTGGGGCAGAAGACCTCAGCCGTGGGTGTGGAAGTGCTGTTCACAAGTTTTCGTTTGGGTTTCTCATTTTTCCTTTTAAACATGAAACCTCCGGTTCGGTGGGCTGATGGTCTTCGGCCACTATTAAACATTTCTGAGCATGGAAGAGAAAGTCAAGCGACATTTGTATCTCCAGCACTCTCAGACCTGCAGACCCCCACCAAGGGGGAAATGGATCCGCTAACACTAGTGGAGAAAGTAAAGGTGGGAGGGGTTTTAAGCTTAGTGAGAGCAAAATTAATCCATTCAACCTTCCAGGGCTAGTTGGGGTTTTGAGAGAGGTTTCTGCTCAACCTGGGATCTGGCTGGAGAGCTTTGATGTTGACAAATCTGCCTTGAATTCGTTGGTTTAACTTGCATCAAAATACCATGTGAGTGTGCTCCTTCCCACATATCCCCATAACCATCGCCATCCCGCTGTCCAGTGTCTCTTGAGAGAGAGCCTCTTTGCATGTTTTCTGGAATCTGTGTGTGTGTTTTCCTTTCTCCTTTGTTCTTTTTGCTCAAAGGTGTGACCAGTCACTGCCCCTCTGGGGCTTTCATTCGCCAGGAGAAACATCCCAAAACCAGCACTGTTTAGCTTGATACCTTTCTAATGTCCATGTCAATTTTCAATAAAACTCAAAGAAATGCTCAGCGGCTGTGTGATCTGATCTTAAACCATTAGGTGATGCGGCCCATCACAGTTTGCTTTAGGAGTGGGTGGCTGCCTTACAAGTGGATGATTTGAGGGGCTCAGGGAGGCACCCTCAGCCCATTTGCAAACTTCCTAGGTGGGCTGCTGTGCCCCCTCCTTCCTTCATCTGAGCTTGAAATTCCCACGGGGGTGGGATGGGGGTGGATGGGAATCCTCCACCTTTCCTCTATTGGCATGGATTTAACTGATCCGTTGAGCTCATTATCTAGGATAACAGATGGAGGAAGTGGAGTGCCAGATCCCACAAAACAAAGTCTGCTGGCCATCCAGTTGGGGTTTCCTTTCCTTCGCCAGATGCTGGGAGTAGCAGAGTGGTCCATATCCTCTTGGTACCCAGCCTGAAGGAAATGACACTGGCCTGCGTCTGCACAGCTTGCACACTAGGGGGCAGCCGAGTGAGACAACGATAGCCTGTGACGTCACTGAGTAGCCACAGACACCGAGGTGTGGAAAAATACAGGCTCTGCAGCAGGACAGCCTTGCTAGCCACCTGCGCTGTGGGCAAACTGTGTTTAAAACTTCCCTGTGAAAGAAGACTGTCAGTAACTCTCTTGCAGGATGATTGTGAAGACTACATGAGCTCGTGTAAATTAAAGACCTGGATGTTCCATAAACGGTACCCTTTATTAAGAATGGAGTTTCCCCTTTGCTAGAAGTATCTTAGGTTCCTCTAATCCACTGTTTCTAAACTTCAGCACTACTGACATCTGAGGACAGATGATTCTTTGCTGTAGGGACCTGTGCTTTGTAGTATGTTTAACAGCATCTCTTCTCACTAGATGTCAGTAGTACCTCACCCCACACCCAGTTGTGACAACCAAAAAATGTCTCCTGGCAGTGCCAAGTGTCTCCTGGAGGGCAAAACAGCCCCCTGTTGAGAATCACTGCTCTAAGCCAGGGGTCAGCAAACTTTCTGTAAAAGGCCAGCTGGTAAATATTTTAGGCTTTGCAGGCCATGTGGTCTCTGCAACTATTCAACCGTTAATACAGCACAAAAGCAGTCATAGATAGTATGTATGTAAAAGGATGAGTGTGGTTGTGTGCCAATAAGACTTTGCTTACAGATGCTGAATTTTTTTTTTTTAAGAAGTTTATTGATTTTTAGAGGGAGAGGGGGAGAGAGAAATACCGATGTAAGAACACAACATTGATCAGCTGCCTCCTGCATGTGCCCTTGACCCGAAATCAGCCAGCAACCTCCTGGTGCACGGAATGGCGGCTCAACCACTGAGCCACACTGGCCATGGCTACGGACACTGCAATTTGACACTCGCATGCAAATTTCATTTTCACATGTCCTGAATTATTATTTTGATTCTTTCCAACCATTAAAAAGTGTAAAAAACATTCTTAGCATGACGGTCATACAAATACAGGCAGTAGGACCAGATCTGGCCTGCAGGCCATAGTTTGCTTGCCCCACCTCTAATGCATTTTAGTGCCTGTTGATGTATCATCAGACTAAAGGTGTTAGAAGCAACTGGCTGGTCAAAAGAAATCAGAAATGAAGACAAGTGGCTGAAGTTTTAGTGTAAGTTGGGGGTGGGGAGTGGGTTTGACTAAAATTTGCACACAGCTCTGGGAGAGCATAGGTGGGAAGTAGGGGCCTGCTGTGTCGATGAGATCCTGCTCCTGGGTCACTGAGCAGGTGAGAATGCCAACTACTTCTAGGGAGAGGACTGGGCCTCTAATGCCCTCAAAAAGACCAAGCAACCAGGGCTCCTGTTTAAGCACTGAGGTTAAGCAGTGTCCTCTCCTGTCTGAAATGCCCCCACTTCAGGAGATTCACCCCTTACTGAAAGGACAGTTTTCGTGCAAGACCATTCTTTTAAAACATGGGTACCCCTTCAAAGAGCTGTGCATTTGAACATTAGTTTTGCCACCTACACCTACCTTCCATCGGTGTTCATCCAAGTCCACTACTTCTTAGCTTGTTTGGCTTGAGCTTTAGAAAGTCCCTGCTCTGGGCTCAATACCTATAACAAATTATATGTATGTTATATATAGGATTAGGAACAAACTCCTTACCTTGGTTTTGGGCTTAATCAAATTATTCTTTCATCAAATGGTAAGGGTATGTTTAACACCTCCTATGGGTTTGGCCCAGTGCCCTACGCTACGGGGGATACTTTGCATGAGATGTAGTTAGATGCTGCTTTTGAGGAACTTAGAGACTGGCCCCATCTTAACTAACTCAACTATATTTTCCAATACTTCCTAATACCCGGTCTCCTTCCAGTACACTCAGTCTCTGCACAGGCCTCTCCCTGCGTTACGCAAATGATTTGTTGACTTTGAACTATCCTCTACTGATTTAAATCCTGCCTTCGAGGCTCAGGCCCTACTTTCCCCTTGACCAGCCTTTCTTGGCCCCATCCACTATTCTGATCTCTTCCCTATTTCTGAATTTCTTAGTTGAACTTTTATAATCTGCATTCTCTTTCAGGGACTTCCCTCCTCAATAGATGTTAAGCTTCCTACGGGTAGGAACATCATTTATAGCTATTCAGAGGGCCCAGTACAGTGCTGGACACACAACAAAAAGTGATTAAGAGGTAGCTAGACTGAGATGCTTCACCAATGTAGGGAACTATTGCACTTTACTAGCATTTAATTTTGAAATTAAATTACAAGAATAGTGCAAAGTATACCCACATACTCTTGGCCTAGATTCACCACTTGATAGCATTTTGCACCATTTGCTTTATCATTTGTACCCGTTCTCTCTCTTGATAATACATAGATATATGTGTGCATATATATATATCTAGATAGATAGATGTACATATTTTTTCTGAACCATTTGAAGGTAATTTACATGTATCATGGCCCCTTACCCCTAAATATTCCAGTGGGTGTTTCCTACTAATGAGGATATTCTCTTACATAACCCCAGCCAGTGATCAACTTCAGTAAATTTAACATTGTTACACTACTTTAATCTATTGAATAATATGCTTTATAGCTTTTTTTT